TCCTTAGTCAAGTTCTTTTTTTACGAAAGAGTTATACCTGGGACATAATATATTTGAAGATACGAGGGTTGCTCGACTATAATAAGAAATGTATGTATAACTCTGAACAGAAAAACGTAAATATGTGTATTAAATGTTTTTTTTTTTTTTTTATACAGCCTTGTTAACAAGCAAAATATTTTATCATCTAAACAATGCAGACAGGAAAGCACACTTGTATGGCACTCATGTCACTGTTTTTTTTCATAATTTGGGAGGGACCTCGGTGGCCGAGTGGTCTAAGTAGTTACTACTGTAATCACTAGCCAGTCAACACTGAGTCTGAGGTTGTGAGTTCGAACCCCGCTCGTGCGGGTGCACTCAATTCCAATCTTAATTGACTAGGATTGTCAGTTTTCCTATCGAAGGTCATGGTTTTCTCCGGGCACTCGATCCAGCTTCCTCCACCAATAAAAACTGGCCGCCACAAAATGGCCCAAAAGTGGCGTTAAAACATCAAAAAATCAAAAAAATCATATATTATGGGAGACTAAAAAAAATCTGACTCTTCGAAAGAATTAAATTCCTTGCTAACACTTTTATATCCTTTTTTCCTCTATTGGGACATTACACTGAATGTAACTGAATGTAACTGAATTATCACTGGACAGTGGGAAATCTAGTGACAAAATATTGCCTCCCTGTTAACACTGAAAACTTGATCTTTTAAATGTTTGTCCCATTATAACAAGGACGCTATCAATTATAAATTCACGGTAAAACGTTCTGGTTAAAAACAAAAATAGAAATAAGTTGAGATATAAACAAAACTTCCATTAATGTTATCATTTCCCTCTTTAAATAGAAAATGTTGAGTACAGCAGACTAATGGAGCTTGGTGTATAATTGGTTTAAAATGTTGCTATGCGAATGAATTCCTGGAGTACAAATTTCAATTAATTTTTTTACTGGCTGCAAACCTGTCTGGAACATGCTAATTATGCGTATATATGTGCAGCTAGATCAGAGAGAGTCCGGGAAAAAATTTCAAAGGAATCGATTGATATGCAGCAAAGATTGGCACTTTTGAAATTAAGTTACTAAGCAAATTCAAACGGACCTTATCCCAATGTAAACATTGAATGTGAACAGATCGAGAAGACCGCAAATACTTGTACAAAAATCGAGACAACCTTTTCTTAAAATTGTATAAAAAATAGTAAAAAACGTCTACTTTATAAGAATATTTATCTTTAAATTTTTTAACCTGCACAGACAGACTTGTATATTGTTATACATTGTATTCATGAAAAGACAATATTTCTATATGGAATTTTCACGTGACATGAGGAGACCAGTGTACTCGAAAACTTAGAATGTGAAAAATAAGTATATTTTGGGAAATTGTAACATGTTAAGGACTTTGTGGAACACTCCAAAAATTGTCGACCCGAAAGATCTCTAGATTTTGTATGTACATGATTTTTTCCAATTTTTTTTATCAATATACAGCAAAGATTGGCATTTTTTGAATTTCAGTTTCACAAGCTTCTAATGCAAGTATCCTGATAAATACTTAACATAAAATATCGTGTATTTGCATGTATATTTCTAATAACACAGTTTAACAAATAATTTCTTTAAAATGGACAATTATTATTTAGAAATAACTTTTGATCAGTATCGTCACCGGCATTGTTTTATTATTGACTTTCTCGACTCTATCATAAGAAGAGTGAATTTTCTTTTGTTTTCATTCACTGAATATCCCACTGTGGATATTACTTGTATGAGCAACACAACAGGTGCCAAAATTAGAGCAGAACCTTCTGAGAGCACCTGTGTTCTCCAATATTAGGTGAGATTCATGTTGCTTGAATTTCCATGTTGCTCAATATTTTACAAGAAATATCTGTGTAATGTTCTGTTATTACTTTCTTCATCATAATTATGGCCATGCTAAACTTTTGAAGCCACAGGTCTGACCCTTATTTTGTTTAAAATTTTGTACAGATGATGTACTTGTAGGCTGGGACTAGTCCCAGTTGTCCCTGTTGTTGGCCATTATTTGAAATTTTTACAGACCTGATAGAAAGTTTACAAGCCTGGCCGGATGGGCTTGTTGCCAATCTTGTTGTGTTTTTATTGGACTTTTCAATTGCCACTTGGTATATATCTTCTCTATCTTTTTTACATAATTTGTATTCAATTTTGACACTAAAATATTTAAATAGGTTTGCTCCTTAAGCAAATGATATAGCGATTAAGGATTTGTATAGTCAAATCCTTGGTTATACTAAGAATGTGTCAAGCTACATCTGGGACTATTATACTAACAGTAGTATTATAATAATAGTCCCAGGCTACATGCATATAATTCCTATCTGCAGTTTTTATGATTATTTATATATAGTCTACTTTTAAAAACCTATACCAGGAAATATATACATTTGTGCTAAAGTTGAGTAAAGAAATTAAAAAAGAAAGAAACCAAGAACATTGTACTTCATTGTTCTATCCTTATGTATATATACATACGTGTACATCTCTAACATGTGAAAATGCGTTGGTTGGAGTTCTTGTAAAATTACAGGTGCCTCTATTAATGTATCTATCACCTGGCCAAGTATGCTAGGTGTGAACATTTAATTAGTAAAACAACAGCCCCCAATAAATGGTGACATAACAGGGGGAAAGTTATAAAAGTGATATTTGAAGACTCCTTAATTTAAAACAATGAAATATGTGAGACAAAAAAAAACAACAGAAAATGGAAAGAAAGAAGTGTCTTCTTTACTCTTTTGGCTACTGTAATGTATGGTTTAGAACATATCACCTTGACTATCAAGCATCAAAATGAAACCAAAATATTAAATTTGAATTTCTATAGTATTATAAAACCAGTTCAAAATGGGTAGTCAGTGTAAAAAAAGCACCAAGACTGTGTAGCCATACATGTAGATGATAATATATTTAAAGGAAACCAAGCTAGAACAGAATTTGAAATGATAATAGATATTTATGATAGATAAGAGAACATTTAAAATGAAGTGGGTTTATAGTTATATCTGCTCAAAGTTTTAATTGACCAGAGTTTCCTGTATTTACGTATATGTAAGAGAATGATAATCCCTTTCTTCATGATTAAGTATGAGCGTTAGCGAGTACTTATCATGATGAAAGGGATTATCATTCTCTTACAAACTTAGAATATTGTACAGTGCTCAAGGCTCAAATGATCTCTTGATTGGTTTTATTCAAGAATTAGTTTCATTGTCCGTGAAATGTTTATAATTAATGGATGACTTCCCTTTTAGGCATTTCATTTATGTATTGGTCTTAGTGATGTAAGGACTTACTTTTAATTTGGGAAATTTTAATAAATTGTGTTTTATACATTAAATGACACAACGTTACAATGAAATTGTAGAAATTGTATAAGTTTCCTAATTGTGAGTATGAGTGTAAATTATGTAATATTTTAGTAAGGAATTATCTTTTTGTTTATCTACAGTTCAATTAGATAAATTAAAAATCAGAGTTACAACTAAATTGTATTCCAAAGCCAATTTTATTCCAGCTCTTTACATTAAATACTACTTAATTAACTAAATTTTGAATTTTGAAAGGAATTGCTTTTTATAGGAAATTCAAAAGTAAATTCAATTTCCTGTATGTAACGGTATTTTGGAAATGACTATTCTTACTAACTGCGAATACAGTTATCTGTCTTTTGATAAGCGTAATACATGTAGCTAAAGATTTAGGTTATATTTGATTTTAAAAGTTTTTTTCTTTTTCTTCTTGATAATGCTTTTTTTTTTTTGTAATTTGAAAGTTCTAAGTATTCACATGATAACACAAACGGTATCAATTGTACAGCACAAGTAAACTTCAAACTTATTTTGATCATTTTTGTTTGTTTCAAAATTCAACTTTAAATCAATAATCCTAATAAATGTGCTTCAGGCAGTTGTAACTCATTTATACAAATTCTTTGTTTTGAACTGTAAATAGGCCTAAACAAAAGGATAATCCCTTACTAAGAACATGATTTACATTCATTCTTCACAATTAAGGAACACCAAATTCTACACTTTCATTGGTCGAGAGCACTTTGCTATATTCTAAATTGTCAGTATTAACTACTTTTATGCCAGCCTTTGGCACCATGGAAAAAACAAAAAAATGAATGGAAAAGCGGCATATTTCATTATTTCAAAATTTATGAAGCTTCATTGTTTTTATTTTCATAAAATAAAAAAAGACAATCTTCATAATGATAATGATCTTGGTGAAAGTGCTCCTAATATGTACAAGAATTTGGTATTAGTTGATATCACTTTCCCTAAAATGCATTCAAGTTATCATGAATATGTAGAAATCAGTTGATATCACTTTCCCTAAAAGGCATTCAAGTTATCATGAATATGTAGAAATCAGTTGATATCACTTTCCCTAAAAGGCATTCAAGGTATCATGAATATGTAGAAATCAGTTGATATCACTTTCCCTAAAAGGCATTCAAGTTATCATGAATATGTAGAAATCAGTTGATATCACTTTCCCTAAAAGGCATTCAAGTTATCATGAATATGTAGAAATCAGTTGATATCACTTTCCCTAAAAGGCATTCAAGTTATCATGAATATGTAGAAATCAGTTGATATCACTTTCCCTAAAAAGCATTCAAGTAATTAGTATCTGAGAGAAGTATCTAACATTTATCTAGTATTTCTACTACAAACCAATTCAAACCATTTGGGTGTTTGACCTAATTTTTATGCATCTTTAATAAATTTATATATATTTCAGTATTTTAAATGCTGCAAGAACAGTTTCATTAGTAATACAGTTCAACTAATGAACCATAGAGACTACTATTCACATCTTTTAAATTGCATTGCATCTGATTGAAACTTGAACATTAACCTATGGCTAAGATGGATAGCTACTTGTTTATAACTGTCTTTTTGAAAATTAAATTATTAGCTTTCTGAAAATAACCCATTTGATTATAGGTATTTCCATCATGTGATCAATTTTTCATTACAAAGTTGGGTGTGTATCATATGACTTGTCTTGAGGTGCATGTGACAGAATATAATATTTAAGCATATGTTTCCAATAGATTTTAGATTAAATCTGACAACAAAGGTAAATATTGAGTTTGTTAAAATTCAGATAATAGATTTTTTTTTATTTTTTAACATACAAATATTTTACTTGTGAATTATATTGAACGTTCAAAGGTAATGAATGTAAAAATGAATAATTTTTAAATTACTTGAGAAATAATGAAATATTCCATGATCCTAAGCCTAATTTTTAATTTTCGCGCAGATGGCAAAGTGATAGGGTAAGCTTAAGCTTAGTTAGGTTTGTCAGTTTTACTGTATATCAAGTCTGTACGTCCGGCCATATGTCCCTAAATTAGCTTCCATTCTCAACCTCAACCAAATTTTATAAAACTTATACATAATGCTTATTACCACAAAACACAGATCAAGTTTGAATTTGGGTTGTGTCACTTTTACCGTTCTTGAGTTATGCCCCTTTATAAATGGAAAAAATGCTGAATTTTTCATATCCTTTCTCTAACTTTAGTTTGCCTCAACCAAATGTTATGAATCTTATATACAATGCTTATTACCATAATACAGATCAAATTTTATGGTTGGCATCACTTTTACAGTTCTCTATTTATGACCCTTTATAATGTTATATATATGCAAGCGTGGGCATCATCTGTGTCCCATGGACACATTCTACATTTTCTATATACACTATATACTTGTCTGTATGTATATTTACAACTATATTTTGCAGATAAAAAGTTGAAGCTCATCTTTTCAATTTTTAACTTATCTTTGTAAAATAGTCAATTATATACATGTATGTTCATGTGCGTGTCAACCAATGTGGCTACTGATTGAGGGGGGAGTAAGAGTTATCAGAAAAAAAAAGGTCATAAAAACTATCAAACTTTTCAACTTGTTACTATCTTCTGATAATTACCCACAAAATAGTCAATAGTGCTGAAAGTGGCATTAAATACCAATTAATCACATAATAATCTTGTGTTAATCAAATAATTTGGATGAGTGTTGGTCTTCTCAATCATTATACACAATGTACTAGTCACAAGACTTAATCATTGATTGATACTCCTCTATCATTATACAAGTCACAAGACTTGAACAGTGCTTGATGCATCACTGTGTGACATCTGTACCTACTAATTATTATTCATAAGTGTTTAAGTATATGATTATCCATATTGAGAAAGTACTTGACATGCATTGAATATAAATAGGTATCTTAGTTGAGGATAGGTATATCAGTATAAACTGTGAGTCTGATCAGTCGTCAAGGTAAAATTGAATAAGTTATTAATTAATTGCAAACATTTATAGATATTTATTTATTTTTATATAATCCATCAGATTTCTTTTAATTATTGTGTTGTCTTTTTGACATGTACCTCTCATCTTCAATTATTTATATATATATCTTTTAGTTATATTGAACAAAGGAACTTATGGGTACTCAAAAATTGTTTAAAAAATCATAAGAAATTGCTGTTATATACTGTGTTGTCAGTAAGAATTGATGTATATTTCATAAGGCATGCTTTAAATTATTATACAAATGTAACTCATTCTCTAAATTTTAAAGGGATTTCAAGATTGATATGAAACTTTTTAGTTTTCTTGCACAAGCATCATATAAGTCAATTATTATTCAAAGAAAAAAAAATGAATTATATGAGATAATAATATGAAACTTTTAATTTTATTGCAGGAGTGAAATAACCATTGCCTAACCATGCTTCGTCTTAGTATACTATTGGTTGCCATAGCAACTGTATTTACAGCACCACAGACACAGGACCAGAATTCCATTATAAGATATTTTGACATTCAGCCAGCATCTGTTAAAATGACTGTGACAGCACCCAAAGGTCATGTTGTCACATCATTTGAACCTTACGACAAATCCTGGGAAAAATTCAAACTTGAACACAGTAGGTATCTTTTGGTACTTGAATCAGTTTTGAAAATGTATTTAAACCAGTTTTCCTCCGTCACCCTTTCTATAATACTTCATGGTTAGAATTTTTCATGCCAGCTCAGGCTGAGCTTAGCTATCATGACTGAAGTTTTGTAGTTCATGAAATGTCCTTGGATTTTTCTTTTAACTGCCAAAAATTGAACTGTTTACTCTCATACAGGTCCAACAGAAAAGCTAAATTACAGGGATGCACTTTGTTGTACTGACTATTGCTGTGGTGTATTGTATATATTGCTTCTGGTTCCATGCTATAGAATTTCTTTTGTTTGAGAACGATTTATTGGTGTCAGTTTTCAGCAATATTTGTTGTATGGGATAAGCGATGTAATTATCATGTGAAAAGCAAATGATTAATGTACAGCATTTATGTACAAATATAGCATATTATATATATTTTTTTTTAAGTGTAAGGTTATATAGGAAGTCCTACTTTACATAATCACATTGGTTTAATGTGGAAAATAGGAAGTAAAGACTTCATTGGTTAACACTAATAATAAGTCAATAGAGCGTTTTTTCCATTTTACCTCTGGATTTACAAAGTTTCCAAAAGTGAAAATGGGGAATTACTTTTTTGATATTTTGTATACATGTATACAACATTGAATGTATATGACCTTGATCTTCTATTTACATATGTTTTTTAAAAACAGAATTGAGGTCAAAATATTTGAGCATTTATATAAAATCATGAGGTGATTAGAATTAAATACCACAACACATTCTATTTATATCTTGTTCTTAGTTAAAGCATATGGGTTAACTATTAGGATTTTTAAAGATATTTGAGTACTCTTTACTATCAAGTGTGTGTGCAAGATTTTCTGAAAAGCACACAGATACAATTTTCTATTACTAGGAAGATTTTCTGAAAAGTGCATCAACACTCTTGTTAGATATGTTTTGGTAATTTGTGTCTCATTGACATATATAAAATAAAGAGACATAGTATGATTTTCAATGAGTCAGCTATCCAACAGAGACTTGGTCATACTTATAATCCAGATCTTTTTTTACTACTAATAAATTTTGATAAAAAAGTTTTATTGAAACTTGTCGTTCTATATACTGGTGATAGTCATTTACAAAATCTATATTAAAGTTTGAGTCTTGAAATTATGAAACAGTTATGTAACAATATTTTACCTGCATTAAGACCCTTATTGCTGTGAACATATATAAATATAGAAGAAATTGCTTAAAATTTGTAAGTCAGGTAGAAAGAGATAATTTATGAATATAATGAGTCTGAAATAATTGTGCTATAATTACTACATATCATATTCAATTAATATACTGTTAACAATCTTAGGAACCACTGAAACTTGTGTAATCAATTGTAGTGCTTTTCTTGAAGAATATATAAATATGATCGAGATTAATGGTTTGCAGATATTAAGTGAAATATATTCATTTTTGTGTAATATGTAAGGTTTTTTGTACACAAGCCTTGCAAAGTCATCACTAGGAAAAAATGAAGAAAAAATTCAATTACATATTTGTCTTAGTATTGATGCACAAAGTCCTAGGTGAGCGACACAGGCTCTTTAGAACCTTTAGTTGATATTGTCATTTAGAATTAACAGAGAGCCCTCAATTTTGAAAATATAAACTGCTATTATGTATGATAAAGTTTTATGCATTCCAGGTACAAATTGATGAAAAATGCTTCGATCTTTGTAGGTAAATCATATCATACCATTGAAGAAGAAACATATCGTAGAACTGTTTTCAAGAAGAATGCATTAAAAATAGAGGAACACAACAAAAAATACAGTCTTGGTCAGAAGTCTTATTATCTTGGAATAAACCAGTTTGCTGATATGGTAAGGGGGATAACTCTAACTTTTATATTTTATGAAATTAAGTCTATTTACCTAGAAAGCCAGGTTTAAGCATGTATTTTAAAATGAACACATGTTTCATTCATCTGTTCTCTAGATTTGACCATTATGAAAGAAAACAGATACAAAAGGTGATTGGTACCATAATAAAAAGACTTGTAGTTTTAAAACTGAAACTTAGAACAGCAAAACCTGTCTAAACTAAAATTTCTGGACTGAAGATCTTGTTTAAACTTTTAAGTTTATACAGGTTTACACTGTTAAATTACAGAGGAATATTCATTGCTTTCTCCAATATAAAAGTCCCGTTTATATTTTTGGGGTTTAAGCTCAGTTATGTTTGTCAGTTTTACTAAATATCAGAAAGAAAGATCTATTCAAATGTGTCACTCATGTGAACAAAATCCTGTAAAGAAAACAGGATATAATTAAAAACCAATAAGTCATTCAACATAAAGTAACAGAAAGTCCCATGGATAATATGTGAGGTGTAGTGATGTATACTTCTTGATAATAAATAATAATATCATATGTATTTATAATGCAATATAAAATGCAATTTTAACTTGCATTGGATTCACAACTATATCTTAGATCTTTAGCAACTACAATCATATTTCTTTTTTTTTCCCAAACTTTTGAAGATTAGACAAATATTTTACAGTTTTAGTAGAATAGAAAAATAGTATTGTCACATTTTTAGTAGAATAGAAAAATAGTATTGTCACATTGACAAGTTTTCTATGTTTCAGCCTGTAAGTTCAACATAATTATTTGGAGAGAAAAAACTTTTGTGACTATCCAATTTTTATTTGAAGCCAATTATTTTTTAATTCTTATACATTCATCATGTTCATCTGCTGAATATAACCTAATATATTCTGGAAACCTGTGTCTGCATTTGAATAATTATATCATAACATATATATATTACTAATTCCTCCCAGTTGTACATTTTCAATATAATTTATGTATTATAATGTTTACTTTAATAGGAACACTGGGAGTATATGCAACATCATGGATTCCAGGTAAAGAAAACAGTAAACAGAACAAGTACAGGGTCAAAGTTCCTGCCTCCTCTCAATGTTGTTTTACCTGAGAATGTAGATTGGAGAGATAAAGGATATGTAACACCAGTAAAGAATCAGGTAAAATATGGTTGTTAGTGAATTGGTATGACATTATTTGTACCAGTTTCATATTTTGTATTATTTTCTTTTAAAATGATGAAACAAAATAAAATCTTATTATTTTTAGCTAACAAGAAGTTTAGTAGACTTTAGGAAGACCAACACAAGAATGTATGTCAAACTGGAAAAAAGTTCCTTACACAAATAACATGCTTTCAATTAAAATTTCCAGCGAAGAAAGATCTTGCAGAATAAATTGCATCTAGGAATTTGGTTGTATTGAGAATGTTTTTCGGAAATTGTTATTTGCCATTATTATTTACATGTGTTAAGTGTCTGAATAAAGGATTTCCAGAAAATTATCCTTAACTCTTAATTGTGGCTGTCATAAAAAAAATTCACCAGATAATTAGGAAAGAGTTTTTTTTTAATAAACATACAGCTTAACTACAGTTTAAAGTACTTGAAAACAAGCAGGGAGTTTGAAATTGTTGTGATAGTTTTATTCATAAAAATAAGTTTGATATTGATTAATTATAATTGCAATAAATATTTTAAAATATTTTAATAATAAGTTTTAAAACTTTGTATTTCCAGGGACAGTGTGGTTCTTGTTGGTCATTCAGTACAGTAAGTAAAGTTACCTCCCTTTTACAACTTAATTATGTTGGATATGACGAAACTATTGATTATTTATAAGTTTTAGTCTTAACAACTGCCAAAGATTCCAAAAAATCATCATAACATGACTTCAATAAAAAAATATTTCAGAATATGTATAAAAATATAGGTAAAGTGAATGCTAACGAGGCAGCAACCCAATAATACACTAAACAAAAATATTTCATTTTCATTTTGTATTTCAACTTTTTATTAGTGTTTGATAAAACAATTTTGTATGCTATATTCAGTGGATTTGAAATGCAAAGCACAAGATCAAAAACAGGAAAAATAACCCAACAGAACCTTTTCATCCAAAAATTTGAATCAATGTCAATGTTTCATTATTTTAACTTAACAGACTGGTGCCTTGGAAGGACAACACTTTAGAAAGTCAGGTAAATTGCTTTCTCTTAGTGAACAACAATTGGTTGATTGTTCTGGTGACTATGGTAACGAAGGATGTAATGGTGGTTTAATGGATGATGCATTCAAATACATTAAAGCTGTCGGTGGATTAGAAACTGAAGATGACTATCCATACACAGCTAAGGTTTGTTCTTCAAATATTTTGACATTCATTACACCACTTATTTAAAGACTTTTTGCCAACGAACTTAAATTCCATGAAGTTTATAACTTCTTTTGAGAGAATTTGTCTTTGCATGAAAGTAAAAACAAATAACAACCATGTTTCTGTAATATCCCTTAACCTTCTTCAGCCTAGCTCATAGCCAAAAACCTAATCATAATAATTTAGTGCAGAAAACAAAACAGTTGTAGATTTCAGGGAAAGGCAGAAATTGTTTGATCTATTAGTATTAAAAACAGATGTATTATTGCTCTTGGCTTTTAGTCAATATATAGAAAAATTCAATATTGATATTGTTTTTACAGCAACATACATGTGACTTTGATGCCAGTGAGACTGTTGCCTCGGATACTGGATTTGTTGATGTAGAAAGTGGTAGTGAATCAGACCTGAAGAAAGCTTCAGCTTCAGTTGGTCCTATATCTGTGGCTATTGATGCCAGTCATCAATCATTCCAACTTTACAAAGGAGGTAAGCAATTGTAATGATCAGGCATTCCCCATGGTCAATTTTCTTTTTTCGCCGACAAACATAAAAATATTTTTCGTTTAAAATTTCCCATTCTTGCTAACCATTTTTATAAGAGCGCAAAAATTTGTGGCCATATAATGGTATGGCGATGTCATCAGAAGACATTTGGTTTCCAAACAATAACTTGAGTAATATTAATTCCGTTCATGGAAGAATTTAATATACACAAATATCAAGATCGAACAAAACAACAGACATTATTATCAAACACACACAACAAACAATTTTTGCTATAACAATGATTTATGCCCTCTCTGAAAGATTGGAAATACTCATTTACCTCTGTCAAAATGTTTCTCTTATACCTCATTTCCCATTGGTTTCCAAATGTCCAGTGGGCCCCTATTGCAGGACTTCCCTATCGTAGTAATTGTTAATTTCTTGTCATCATGGAACATACATGAAATATTTGCCACTGGTCGTAAAGCAAATACAATTAGTCAAACATTTGCATGATTGTAGAATTCCAAGAAATAATTGTCTAAATAAATGCTATAAAAGTTTGATACATGATAGATGATTCATGAATCTTAACTGTCATTTATTTATTACCAAATTGTCCTGTAATTGATAACTTCCCCAGGCTATAGATAAAGTAGATTTATCAGGACCATAATCCAAATGAATGTCATATATTTACGATTGTTTTTATACGACAGCAAAAAAAAATTTGTGGTCGTATATTGGTATAACGTTGGCGTCGTCATCGTCGTCCGAAGACACATTAGTTTTCGCACTCTAACTTTAGTTTAAGTGAAAGGATCTCTATGAAATTTTACCACAAGGTTCAATACCACAAAAGGAAGGTTGGGATTGATTTTGGGGGTTATGGTACCAACAGTTAAGAAATTAGGGGCCAAAAATAAGCATTTTTGTAACTTCCAGACATAACTTGTGTGTTAGTGTATGGATCTCTCTGACATTGTACCACAAGGTTCCATATCACAAAGGGAATGCTGGGATTGATTTTGGGGGTAATTGCATCAAAATTTTAGGAATTAGGGGCCAAAAAAGGGGCAAAAAACAAGCATTTTTCTAGTTTCATGACAATAACTTGTGTGTAAGTGTATGGATCTTTGTGAAATTGTACTACAAGGTTCCATATCACAAAGGGAAAGCTGGAATTGAGTTTGGGGGTAATTGCCCAAAACGTTTAGGAATAAGGGACCAAAAGGGGGCCAAAAATAAGCATTTTTCTAGTTTCCAGACAATAACTTGTGTGTAAGTGTATGGATCTTTATGAAATTGTACAACAAGGTTCCAAATCACAAAGGGAAAGCTGGGTTTGAGTTTGGAGGTAATTGCCCTAAACGTTTAGGAATTTGGGGCCAAAAAGGGGAAAAAAAACAAGCATTTTTCTAGTTTCCAGACAATAACTTTGTTGAAGTGTACGGATCTCTCTGAAATTGTACTGCAAGGCACCATACATTGTAACACAAAGGGAAGGCTGGGATTGAGTTTGGGGGTGATGAATAATAAGGGGGTTCAAAAAATTTGAGGGGGGATTTTTTCCCCCTTTTTTTTCTTTAAAATTTTCCTTTTTAAATTGGTTATTTCTGATTTATATATAAAAGCAAATAATAGTGATATGGTTTGAATAGGTAAATTAAAAAAAATTCAGTTCTTAGACCACATTCATTCTGTGCTGTGTCAAATATTTAATCACAATCCAAATTCAGTGCTGTATCAAGCTTGAATGTTGTGTACATACTTGCCCCAACTGTTCAGGGTTCGACCTCTGCGGTCGTATCAAGCTGCGCCCAGCGGAGCATTTTATTAAATCAATGTTTCAGTGTAGGAAAAATCTGAAAAAAATATCCATGAAAAAAAATTGACTAGATGAAAAGTGTTTCTGAAGTTTTTCAAATGTTTTCCCAAGTCATGACACTCATTTTGCTTACAAATCCTGATCTTTTTAAATAATCTTGGTTAATTACATTACTCTTACCTGAACATGTATATTATATATATTTTTGTAAGCATTCATTTCCAAAAAAATACATTTTAATTATATGATAAGTTCACTTTGCATTATGATTAAAATTCGTTGGTAAAGCACGCTATCAAGTTTTATTTGACTTGTTTATTTATGTTTTTTTTTGCTGTAATTTAATCCAATTGATTACACAAAAATGATATTATTTGTAGGTGTATATGACGAAGAAGAATGCAGCAGTAAAAATTTAGACCATGGAGTATTATGTATAGGCTATGGTACTGATGAAAGTGGAAATGATTACTGGCTTGTTAAAAATAGGTACAGTAGCTTATCAAGAACAACAATAGAAGTGTTTCAATTCTGATTAAAAAGAATTTATCCCACCTATACTTGCATTTTGGCTGTTACTGTCATAGGTACTAAATATTTTTATGTATGTAGAATTTGGTTTTGATATGATATTTTCCGTTTTCTGTGTTGAATTGATTCTTCGCATGTTTATAAAGGATCAATTTGTACTTCATCTGTTTGGCAGTTTAGGGTTTCACCTGGGTTAATTTTCATTTTCGCCACCTCTTTCTCACAAACACATTTTTCCAGGCACTAAGTGTTACCCTTAACCTGTCTTTCCATCCGTCCCATTTTTGTTGCAAAGCTTGAGCGGGGCATTTGTGTCCTCAGACAAATTCTTCTTTTATTATGCCCCAGCCGTAGGCGACGAGGGCATTTTAAGTGAAACTTGACCGTCTGTCTTTCCGTATGTCCATCTCATTTTTGTTGCAAAGCTTGAGCGGGGGCATTCATGTCCTCAGACACATTCTTCTTTTATTTGTTAAGAATTGTTTGAGTTGCTGTATCATTGAAATTTACTCCTATCTATATTTATACACATGAAGACTTGTAACAGAAGAATTTTACTTTCCCTGTTGGATTCATTACCAAGGTATGGGTTTGTCTCATTGTTGAAGGCGGTACAGTTGCCTAAAATTGCCTACATCCACTTCAGTTGAACTTTGATGGATAGTTGTCTCATTGGCAATCATACCACATCTCCTTATTTTATATGTACCCAGTATTACATATGTGCGTTCTGTATTGCATATATAAAATATCTTTTTTTTCTCACTTAAAATACAGTTTGGACAACATCTAAATCTATATAGATTGAAGATATCTAGTATAAACAAGCAAATTAGAAACTGCAATAAAAAGCAAAACAAAAAGTGTGGACTTAAATCATTGAAACAGAGAAAGAAATATTTCAGACAGCATCAAGGAATGATAGAAGTTTTATGATTGTTCTTAGTACAATGTTTATCCTGATATATATGTATAGTATATTAATACAAAATGGCTTCTTCTGAGTAGATGCTTATGGTAGAGTTACAAAATGTTTGTACTGTAAGTTGTCATAAATAGAACAGAACACTTTTTGCCATTATTCAAAAACTACAAAAATATTTATTATTTGGATGAAAAACTAATTTGGATAATATTTTCTACAGCTGGGGTGAAACCTGGGGTGACCAAGGATACGTGAAAATGTCCAGAAATAAGGATAATCAGTGTGGTATAGCTACACAGGCCAGTTATCCACTTGTTTAAGTAAGTAATAAACTGTTATTACTGTGAGAAACTGTCTATATTAGAATCATACTAAAAATTAATTTGTGTTTTTAGTTGATATGAATTGTGGATATTTTGTGAGTGTTTTGATTCATGAATTCAGTTAATAAAATGTGTATAACAAGTTCTTTTAAACTAGTGACCAACTTGTTACCAAAAACAATATAAATAAAGTCCAGTATGGTGAACCTTACTGATTTTTGACCAAGTTAACTTAAATGTTAACCAATTATTTCAACTAAATTTTGCAATAGAAGTGTGTATTTTATTTTATAGCATATAGTGTTTATAGTTGAAGTTTTACAATACAAATTTTTATTATTAAATGAGTTGGGCAAACATTTTTCTAAAGCTTGGTGCATGCAAGATTGTTAAACAAAGTTATGTTATGATGAAGGAAAAATAGTTCTAAGTATGAAATCAGCATCTCCCCACTTTCATAATTTTTGGGAATGGCCTGTTGTTTATCATTTAAAAATGATTCACCTAATTACTTATACTGTTGGTATACTTGAAAATATGCAGTAATAGTTGTAGGCAGTTGCAGAACCAGGATTTGAAAAAAGGGGGTCCCCACCAAGGTAACATTAGGAGTGGGGCTTGTAAAACGTCTGCATTAACCATGTATGTAGCTCCATAATGGGGGGGGGGGGGGGGGGGGGGGGGGGGGGGGGGGGGGGGGGCTCACCTAATTCTTACTCTGATAAGAAAAAGGTTCTTTGATAAGATTGAGTTTATCACAAAATTTATACAAATGTATTAAATCTTCAAATTGGTGAGGAGAGTTAACTCGAACAAATAAGAAACAAATAATGTCCAGCATTTACATTTCAAACAGGTGAAATCTTTTTTCTGGTTAATAAATGAAGAAACTTTATTTACAGTTAGAACTATTTAGCATATTCAGTCATAGATCTTACACTTTATACTGTTTTTACATAATTTTACTTCTTTGACAGATTTGGAACTCTACAGAAAACAGAGATCAGTGAATCTTGAGGATCAGAAGCTTTCCTATAGTATATATATACTTTACATCTGTACTAATTTGCATGTGACAAAAAACCATAAAATTTACCAAGCATTATCTTATTGTTACACACATTATCAGGAAGAACCATAACTTACAAAAGAAATATTTTTCACAATATGAAACCATTTGATATGCAAATTATTTTTTACAAATGTAGACATTGTAAATAGAATGTTAAACATTCCAGTATTGTTATGTTAGAGTTGACATGTTAACGTAGTTACAACCTACAAAGTCACAATTGAAGTAGCTTGATTTTTGTATACATTTTTTACTGCCGACATATATCCAGGTTGAATTTTTCACATGAAAAAAATCATGATTTAATTTTTTTCTTATATTAATATGAGAAATTCTATTTGGTTGTCAGACATTTTAAGACGAGATATTTAGTTGTCACATTGAAACTGTTTTGTGTTTATGCAGACAATCTGTATTGATCTTAATTACATAAACCGGTGTTATTTGTGATATTAAACGATTGGTTGTTTGACTTAAACTTGTATATGTTAGATATACTTGATTCTGAATATTTTTATTATTATTTGGAATATCTGAAATTAGATTCGATATGTAAATAATTCTTTGCTAACTTTTTTCCAAACAAAAATGTTGCACTGAATTTTTCTCCAAATTTTGCGTGAATCTCATGTTTAAGATCTAGATTTGATATTAAAACTTTACTTGAAAATAATATCTGAAATACATTAAGTTGTTTTTGCATAAACTTTATATGAGTGTACTAAATTTTAGTGCACTACATGTTTATAATAATCACAACAATTCTACATGTTTATAATGATTTAAACTTGGATCTGAAATCCTACCAGAATCATCACAAAGTTGCTTCATAGTCACTTCTTATCTAAATGATTTGTTTAAGGGAGGTATTAATCGGTTACTTTTACTCTAGTTTTTTTTTTTAAATTTAAAAATATAGATCATTCATACTGAGTGTCATGTTAGTGGAAACATCTGTAATATTGATATTGATTTTTAATGTAAAATGTTTACTAGATATTGAATGAATTTCTCTTTTCTCATTTGAATTTTCTTTCAAATATACAGCTTTGGTTTTGGTTATGCCTTTAGCTTGTGATTTTTCGTGTTATTTCATTCATGAACTTTTATGTTTATTAGCAAGACTACATATATTATAATTACAAGAATCATTTCTATTTCATTTCTATTTCATCGATTTATTGTATTGGACAATTTGTTGTGTTTATCTTATATGTGCTAAACTTGTATTTACATTGAGAAATCTCATAATAAATGTTCTTTTTTCAAAAAGTTTTATTTGTTACTTCAACAAGTTATTTTGTACTGGATGGAGCAAATATCATATGTTATACTAAAATGTCTTTTGCCCTGTAACTCTTAAAGCTGGTACAATTAATTGTAGTGTAGTCAAATATTTTGAATGGAAGTCACACTCTCAAATACTTATTAGCCTGCTGATGACAAACATTTTTATTCCACTTTCCATACATTGTCCAACCAGTAACTGTACTTCAGAAAAATGAAATTGCTGTTGAAATATGATTGAGTACCATGGATTCATTATATTTTGTGGGATACCAATTTTTGTGGATTTTGTGGTTACATGTGAATCACAAATTTAAATGTTCAAAGAGTACAAATTTTTTTGAAGCAGTCACTGAACCATGGAAATGAGGTCAAGGACAATGGTCTTAAGCTTATGAGAGATAGAAACTTGTAACATAAGGCGTCTATATACAATGTATGAAGCATCCAAGTAATCTACCTTCTGAAATATAAAGCTTTATACATATGGTTTCTGCCGCTGCCAGATTGTGATCCCTATGACTCACATACTCGCAGGCATGACAAAATTAGTCAATTAACAAATGCTTAATCAACTTTATAGCCAATAATACCTAATAGCTATATATTATGAAATGGACCTTCACAGAAAACTTCATGCTGGATGTATGTCTAGCATTGTGACATTTGTTGCAGGCAAGTCAAATATGAAGTAAAAATCGGTTGTTGACTTTTAAACAATTTTCCATATAAAATAAAGGAGATGTGGTATGATTGTTAATAAAACATCTATCCGCGTCTAAATGACATGGATGTAAGCAACTATAAGTCACTGTACGGCCTTCAACAAAGAGCAAAACCATTACCATATAGCAAGATATTGAAGTTCCTGAATTGATTCATACAAGAATAAAATGTTTCGCTGAGCGCAGCCTGATACGACCTCAGAGATCGAACCCTGAACAGTTGGGGCAAATTTGGACACAATATTCACGCTTGATACTGTCTGAATTTGGATTGTGATCAAATTTTTGACATAATATATAGGTTTCTGACACAAAATAAATGAGGTCAAAGATCTTAAACATCTATTGAAATTTCAAAAATTTTGAAAAAAAAAAATATGAACCCCTTAAAAAAATTGGAAAAAAAATCCCCCCCCCAAACTTTTTGACCCCCACTTTGGAGCAATTACCCCCAAACTCAATCCCAGCCTTCCCTTTGTGATATGGAACCTTGTGGTACAATGTCAGAGAGATCCATACACTTACTTACAAGTTATTGTCTGGAAACTACAAAAATGCTAGTTTTTGGCCCCTTATTCCTAAACTGTTGGTACCATTACCCCCAAAATCAATCCCAACCTTCCTTTTGTGATATTGAACCTTCTTGTAAAATTTCATAAAGATCCATTCACTTAAACTAAAGTTATTGTCCGGAAACAAAATGTGTCTTCGGACGATGACGACATCATAGCATTATACGAACCCAAAAAAAATTTTGCAGTCGTATAAAAACCAATGTTCTGATTTATGACAAAACAGTAGAAGAAAAACAAATATAACAGACAGCAACCAAAGACAATAAAAGATAATAAAAGAACTAACTGTAAAAATCAGTTGGAAATGGCTTGACTCATCTAATAAGCAAAATACCCGTTTAAGTTAGCCTTAGTGAAAGAGTGGTCTAAATATAAACTGGGGAAACATGTCTCCACAAAAAACAATGTTTCAACCTATAAAACAAGAGTAACAGTTTTACTAGTTATTTGGAAAACACAACTCTACACATGGCAACCTTATTTTGGAGAATACCCTGGATTCATTTATTTATGTGGGTACCAATTTTCATGAATTAAGGAACAGTTGTAATTTCTGGGATCTTTGATTTTAGGGTTTTACAAAAGTCTGCATACAAGCCTTTAAAAAATTTGTACTCGTTGAACATTTTTTGTGGTTCACATGTAACCACAAAATATTTTACATCCATTTGTCATGCCTGCGAGTATGCGAGTCATAGGGATCACAATCTGGCAGCGGCAGAAACCATATGTATAAAGCTTTATATTTCAGAAGGTAGAAGACTTGGATGCTTCATACATTGTATATAGATGCCTTATGTTACAAGTTTCCATCTCTCATAAGCTTAAGACCATTCCTTGACCTCATTTCCATGGTTCAGTGACTGCTTCAAAAAAATGTTTTTTTTTATTTCTCATGTGAAATTCTCACTTACAGGTATTATTAGTAATAGCATACATTTTTTACTAACATTTGGTTTATGGAATCTTTGCAAGGTGTACATGTCTGTCTGACAGGGTTCACCTGACCTCAACCTTATTTCTTGGATCAGTGATCAAGGCTATAATTACATGATCAGGTCTGTTTCTCAGTTACCAAAAGCAGTGGGTAATATTTTATATTATTATATTTGGTGTATGGAATGATTGTAAGGTGTACATGTCAGACTGGCTGGTATTATCTGACCTTGACCTTATTTTTATGGTTCACTGGTCGACCAACCGCAAACAATTTTGCGGTCGTATATTGGTATCACGTCGTTGTCCGAAGACATTTGGTTTCCGGACAATAACTTTAGTATAAGTAAATAGAAATCTATGAAATTTAAACACAAGGTTTATAACCACAAAAGGAAAGTTGGGATTGATTTTGGGTGTTATGGTCTTAACAGTCTAGGAATTAGGGGCCAAAAAAGGGCCCAAATAAGCATTTTTCTAGTTTCCAGACAATAACTTGTGGAACGGTGTATGAATCTCTCTGAAATTATACCACAAAGGGATGGTTAGGATTGACTTTGGGGGGTTATGGCTCAAACCGTTTAGGAATTAGGGGCAAAAAAGGGGGAAAAACAAGGGTTTCCTGGTTAATGAACAATTTAAAAGCAGTGTAAGGGAGGTAATCCAAACACATTTAAAGTACAATGTTGTGTATGTTTGGATTACCTCCTTTACACTGCTTTTAAATTATGTAAAAAGAAATGTATTGTCTTGAGGTGATTAGCTGTCAATTTATTTTTAGAAGTTACTATTAAAGGAATATTAATTTTAGCCATGATTATGTATGTCATTTTCTATTTTAAGACTTTTATGATGTATTTAATTGGTAATTATGGTTGCAAACTCCATTGGAAATTTTAATTGGGATTATGACCATATCTTGAGGGAAAGAATTTTTTTTTTTTTGGAAAAAAGGGGGGGGGATTTTTTTCTCATTTCAGTTTTCAGAAATTAAAAAAGAAAATTTCTCCAAATATAATTTTTTTTTTTTGCAAAAAAAGGGAGGGGGGTAAAAAAAAAGTTTTTTTTGGAGGGGGGGTCAATACGCAACAGCATAGTGTATTGCACAAAAGCAAAAATAAGGGGGGGAGGGGGTCAATTCGCAACAGCATAGTGTATTGCACAAAAGCAAAAAATTGAATATAAATTCAAATCATATAAACAATTCTAAGTTCTTTGACTATTATGTGTCAAATATTTAATTACAATCCAAATTCAGACCTGTATCAAGCGATAATATTGTGTCCATTTTTGCCCCAACAGTTCTGGGTTGGACCTCTGCGGTCGTATCCAGCTGCGCTCAGCGAAGCATTTTATTGTGTTTTGGTCTCAAATACTATAAGCAATAGGTAAAATGTATTTGGTGTATGGAATGATTGTACAATGTACATGTCTGGCAGGATCATCTGACCTTGACTTGATTTTCATTGACCTCCTCGATGGGTTCGAACTCGGGGTCAAGAATAATGTGTCCAGGTAGGGTGACATGTCTTTCTTTGGACGGTTACCTTGTGAACTAGCATGTTAAACATCTGGTTCAGCGTGTCTGTTGGATCTCCTGTAGTTGGTGATCGCAATACTGGTATACTAGTATTGTGCACAATACTGGTATAAAAATTTTGTACCAGTATTGTATTCCAGTATTGTACCAGTATTGTGTTTTTTAAGAATAAACAATACATATAGGTAATTAATCCTTTTATTAAAGGTGTCACATATATATGGATAATGATATTAACATATGACATGACAATTGTATGTTTAACTGATGATGCCATTGATGGTACACTGTGATTGTAATCAAAGAAAGTTTTAAATCTTCTGATGTTTTTTTCTCAAGGAAACCGTATTGTCTCAGCATTTTAACAAACTCTTTACTTTCTTCTATGTTTTCTTCCAGCTCTCTCTTTCCAAGTCTCAATAGTATATTTTAGTGAATTTTATATTGACATTAATGCTGTTATAGCTTCTGTATCATCAGCATTGGTATTGTTTATTTCTTCGTCAGATGGCATTTCTGCAACCCCCACATCCTATATTGATATTTATGTATTCAGTCTGACTGGACTTTCTCTTACGCTTACTAGATTACAAGCTTGTTTAGATAGCACCTGTACGGCTCTCTTACTGTAGGAGCCGTTCTTGTCTAGTATTAGTATTTGAGTATTTGTACCAGTAGATATATCTGCTTCAAATTGTATTGCCCATGGTTCTGAATCAACTGCTTTAACTACCCTTAAAATTCATGTAGACAAACTAGTTAATTTGATTATAATCAGGCTCCCCTATTAAGCAACTTTTTATGTTTAATGGATATTGATATCTTTTATCATGTTTATTGTGAAAGATTGATCATGTTGATAAGAAAATAAAGACAAACAAATGCTTGGAACCTTAGTATACATGTATTAAAATATCTAAAAAATATACGATGGCATACATGTAAATGCTGAATTTACAGTGTCATAGTGTAATAATTTGCTTGAATTTATTAAATAATAACTCTGATAATAAAGCTTTTATTTTATTTTATCTAAATTGAATTAAATAAAATATAGAAATATGATAAAATTATTAGCAATTATTTATATAATTAACAATTGTTTGAATAAGATGAGTTAATTACAATAATCTTTTGTTTATTTGTACAAGTATAGTAATTATTTTTAACTGGTTGTTAATTGATTTCACAATTGTCCTCTATAATCTT